AGCCAATCAACTCCCAATCTGTTCGTGACTATGCCCTCACTGGGTAGCTGGGTATCTCTGATTCAAGCATGCAAAATTCCGATAGCTCATGGGTTGTCATTCAGACCCTGGTTTCAACCATAAATGAACTCTGCACTGAACATCGTTCCTTGAGTCTATTTGCCAAGGGCTCTGCGGTGTTCGGTGCGGCCGAGCTGGGCGATTATGGTCATGTGGTAGGATCTGCTGGACTGGTTAGAAGACCCTGCGCTTTTGGAATGTCCTGGGTACTTCAGTCGTTCGCAATGTGCACTTGAACCCGGTATTATTGTACCATTATGCTGTTGCATCCTAGGCCGGCGGCGGTCAGCCTCCGAACATTACTTACATCATCGCCGTATCAATTAGAAGCGACGACTTTCTAGGAGTATAGCCATGGGACTCACCCACCTACCTATAAAGTGTAAAAAAAAAAACAAAAAACAAGTTTGTGATCTTTGCTGATATTCAGGTAAACTATAAATTCGTTCTCGAAAACAAGGTAATTTTTTGTTCAAAGCAGCACTTAAGAAACCGCTGGAAGCGCCTTTTGGAAGGACGCAGTCCAGACAATGGAGTTCTCGCGTCCTTACGGTTGTCAGTTCTCGGAGGGAGGCGTTGATCAACCGCTACAAGCGCACTAAGCGGCTGTGGCGGGACTTTCAGCGGCGATGTAATGAGCGGCAGAATGATGCATTTCTCGAGCCTGTGCCGGGTCCCTCCTGATAGTACCTGCTGGGTCGCGTCCACCAACAGCTAAAGTGGTTTACAAAGTGGATGACGAGGTGTGGGGCATATCGTTCCAACGGCTACTATCCAAGGATCCGAAACTGCACATAGTGCATGTTGATTCGTGACAAGATTTTCCGGTATTGTATGGTTCGTCAACTGTTAAGGCGCAATGGCGATGGTGCATTGGTATCTACCATCAAGAAGCAATTGTGTCATTTGAATACATCATAGCATCACTTGGACCCGCGGCGTATTCTCTGCACAATGAGTTTGAACACAGTAGGATTGGTGCTTAATTTACGACCATGGGCGGAACCCGGCGTCAATATAACCTGTAGATTTGGCTCATCGATAAATAATGCTTTCTTTGATTGACCTTTCCCGTCGCCCCGAGACAGCAGGTGTTGTATCACCAGCATTAACGAAAACCTTGTGATCCGTGCAAGTCTCTGTTGATTCCAAGCCCTTGCGTAAGATCCAGCACATTGTTGGGACCTCGGAACTCTTTAGCGGCCCAATGAGATAATAGCCAAGGAGCGATCCAGCCATTGGCCAATTTCGCACTGTAGATATATGATTATCGCGATAATCGGCCTCGCTAAGCGATTAGATAGCCTTCGACCCTTCTGTTCCTCCCTCCCTCCTGTTGCTCCCTTCAACCCTCTTCCTTCTTGGTCCTCTCCACAGGCGCGCGCATTCATGGACACCCATCCCAATTCTTCGCCATCTCTATTCCTGTCTCGCTTCTAACGATCCGCAATGTCAACTCCAGCTCCTTATAGTCTCACAGTCCCAGAACGTGAAGCTTCGACGTCTGCGCAGCAGCGAACCAGAACACCGACGCTCGTACTCCCTGAGTCCCCGTTGGATAGTCGATATCCGCCCTTTACAGCGTCGTCGAACTTGCCAAGCTCGTCTCTTGCGGGATCGGCATCCTCAGCACCCCGTGCGGGCTTGCTGACCCAAGCAGATGCTTTCGGGAACTCGTCCAGCTATTCTCTCGCACCGTCTCAGATTCCAGGCAGCGCGCATTTCCTTGAAAACGACCCTGAGGACGGTGAGCGCGATACATTCTTAGGTCAAGATTCTTACAATGAACCCGGTACGTTCGCAAGGAGTGTCGAGCACCGTAACAACAGTGCGGCTAGTCGTCGGAGAGATATTATTGATGGCGTTTCTTTGCGGGAAGCTCATCGGAGAGATGTTCTTGATGGACTCTCTTTGCGGGAAGCTCGTCTGCAAGCTCCTCGCCCTGTCACGCTCGCTGTTATCCCACGCGCTAGTGGTTTCCAGGAAGGGTATGTTGATAACTCATTTATCGATCGTCTGCTCACCGAAGTAACAGATACACTCCCGCCGCCCTCGCTGATGCATCTCCATTCGTTGCGGAAGATTCTGAGCTCCGTGGAGTATACATTCCTGAGGAGAACGGCGATACGATCAGAGCCAGGCGCCGTGGGGGAGCTGAAACAGTAAACCAAGTTGACAACGCTGGGTATGACCACGACCTTTACTATTTTGCAGCAGCTGACAAAAGCAATACTAGCGGCATTGCATTGCAGGCCGATGACCAGACTACTTCATACGAGCCGAGCAAGGAGAAAGTGTCGTCCACGCAGGCTAGGGAACCAGCGACGGCTGGTGGTATGGTTGAAGTTCCAGATGTTCCTGGTGACACCGATCAGTACGTTGATAACTGTCATAATCTTGACCTTGCTAACCATCTCATAGCGATAGATCTAATACTGGGTGCAAAATCGAGCGAGACGACACACGCAAATCCATGGTCCCATGGTCGAGAAGTCTGGATAAGTTCCATCCAGCCTTTAGAGATGAAACGTCCAAGACTCCAAGTATTCGTAGCTCCCTGAGGAGTAGCGACTCGGACATCCGCTCCCCTGAGGGTGGCTGGGATATTCCCCTCCGTACTCGACATACTCGACAACAGGAAATCACCCCGCCATCCGCACCTCAAGGAGCCCCTGCGAATGCGTATAATAGGCCACCACTCATCCCAAATCGCAATGAACCCTCGCCTTTCGGAGCATACGGTAGTTTCTCCCGCATGGAAGACGACGCGGTGTCCGAATCCGGTCTGACCTCCCGAATCTGTGACGAATATCTGCAAAACACCGCAGAACTTCCTGAGCGGTACCTTCAGCACTTTACCAGGGATTCTCACCCGTATCCTCAGTTCGTCGGCCACCCTGGAGGTGATGTTACATTGCAGTCTCTCCCGTCTGTTGCTTTCCAGTCACCGTTTGCTGGACGTGGCCCTTCAACCGAAGGCCAAGGCGCCTCTGGTTCGTCCCGTACTCGCGCTCAGACCGATTCCCGAGTTGGAACCCTGGGTTCTCCTCCGCATGCCGACCGGACCCGGAGAAACACCACCCCTGCGCGATTTCTCCACTATGGTGCAGACGATGTCAACCATTCTCTGGTTGCACATAACCAGCCTCTTGGACCTAACCATCAACATAACACTTCTCAAGATTTAGAAGCAGCACTGCAGAGACATCAGCGAGCGCAAAGGGAACACGTCGTCGCCCGTTTGCGTTCTGGAAGCCTTCGCGATGCGGTTATTCAACCCCAACAGGGACGTTGCGGTTGCCATTCGAAAATGCTGATCTTTTGGCTCGTCATTGCGGTGGCGATGGTGATCGCGGTGGCTGCGATTATCGGAGTCATGGCTGGCCGGTAAAGGTTGGATCCGCAATAAATCTCGGCTTTCAGGTTGGAAGGTGAGTGTTACCTGGTAGGAGCTTTGGTTTCATGGATGTGGTGGGTGCTTGGTTTGGCTGCTGCTGTTGAGGCTGTCGTGTGTGTTTTATTTCCTGTTTTCGATGTTCTATTCAACGCGTTTTTATGCTGTTCTGTTTTTTTTTTTTTTTCGCATGCGCTAGCTGTGTTGGCTTGCGTTCCTATCCCGTGGTCTGTGTTCGCCGGTTGGAATTTCTTGCAATCGGCGGAACTGTGCCATTGCGGCGGATCCGGTAAGGTAGTTGCTACTCCCCTTGCCGCTGGGCAAGCTGTATTAACTTTACTGCCAGATCGAGGCTCAAGATGGTACGCTGTGCCCAAGTCCGAGGTCAACAATCAGTTTAAGCGTTTAGGAGCAGGGCCGGACATGCAGCAATTATGCGCCGCCATTGAGACATCCGTTGTGCCAAGGTGGTCCTCTCTCCCTCTTTCCGCCGTCATTTGCCATCAGCATCGTCGCTCATGACTAGCCGTTGCGGTCTTCCTCCAGTGTACAATCAACCTCACCGCCCCGCCACTATACAGTGGTCCGTCGTTTGATATGATCGTCCGAAGTCAGACTAACAAAGATGCTCGAAGCAAGCACAATTTGGAAGCACCACAATCGCTTGATTGAAAAACATACCAGTGTGGACCGAACGGTGCAATCAGGAAATGAGCGAGTCAGGATTGAGCTTCACTTGCGAGCACTCGGTCACCACAGAACCGCGTGAGCCAAAAATCAGTGGACTCCCTGCAACATGAGTGTTACTACTTTATCAGGCGCTGGTATTGTGTGTGCAGTCAGTGTTGCTGCCAAATTGGTCACGACGGAGCAAGCCTCACTGGACTCAGAACCAGTTTCGGTGACTATGTTCGCTTCTAGATTTAACAGTAGGCCTTCCACTGGATGAGCTATCCTCTTGCCCGGCAGTCGATTTCATGAAAAAGTTTCAGTCAATTAGAGCATCATAAACGGATGACTAAAGCGGGCAGTAACCGGTGGAATCATTCCGAGTCAATCAGTGTTTCCATGAAAACGGTCGATGGATGGCTTGATTGATACCCGTTGCCCAACTGAGGCTCAGCTCGCCACCCCCAGGAAGCGCCCCGGGTCGAAAGCGATCATTTCCATTGGTGGAGAAACAATCGCATAGGTACAGGATCAATAGTTCCATTACATTTCGAATGTTCGTTGATGGGGGCTGATCAACGCGGAGCTTCGCACGAGGGATCACTCGCCAGGAGCCCGGCTGACCCATTCATCCGGGCCGTGACGGCCGGGCTACCGAGATGGCCGGGCCGGGCTATTTCGGGCCGGGCTATTTCGGGCCGACTGCTGACAAGCCTGTATGGCATAAGGACAGTGAACTCTTCAGAAGAGAAAAAACATGCAAGATGCAGCTACCCCTATTTGACCAGGCTTACACTCGGCGCCAGACGGGAGATATATGAAACCCAAATCTATTAAACGCAAACTGAGGCCATAAGAAAAAAGCTTAAAAAGATATTTCCGCCACCGGGGTTTGAACCCAGGTCTCCTCGGTCCTCATCGATGAAAGCGAGATATGCTAACCACTGCACCATAGCGGATTTGGTATAGTTTGCACCATTCTGGCGACTATGAACTACCGGCGCCCATCTGAAAGCGGACGAAACAGGTATTACTCATCCACTCAGAAGGGATACACTTCCACGCTTCGCAGCATATCGGTTGGGCTTCCCTCCATCAGAACAACCATCTTCCCCCAACGCAACTCCACAAACCATCTGCTTCAAGCAACCAAACACAGTTTTGAGCAGCACCGCTACCAAGCTTGAATCGCGCCCGCCAACAGTCGGCCTTCAAATACCGAACAAGAACTCAATATACGTATCCCCAGTTCTCACTGTACGAGGCCACACGCCTTTCTGGAACTCTATCCAATGAATCAAAGGCGCGTGTAACTCCGACGAATTGTACCTGAGTCATAGCTATCACTACGACATTAAAAAGGAAACCGTTCAACGGTTTTACGTCCATCTCTCTCGCTACCGCGATTCCCCATCACATTTCACATCTCCGTGATCACGCCTTGCAGGCCAGACGGGCTGTTGTCCTCGGACACGGCCATGTCATCGCAAGCCAGCTGGGCACCTGTAACTGCTTCAATCAAGCCCCAACTGCGTTCATCAGGCAGTTTCAACAAGATTGGTTGAGCGGCGTACCAGCCGCTCCGGCCCCGGCTCGGCGGAGACGGCACATCTTACAACCAAGAAGTCCCAGAGATCAAGCGGCTCGTACAGCCGCTGCCGGTAACGCTCCATCGTTTCTGTCGCAGGACCATCCCCGCACTATTGCACCCAGTGGCCCGATCAACTCCTTGCAGATTATGCAGATATACTACTTCTTCACCCACCAAAACCGAAGAGAAAGCGGCACAATGATAGCTGCATCTCCAACACGATGAGGGATGAAGAAGACAGCGATGGGACACTTCAAAGCGCCACCGACCAGTCACGCCGGTTCCCCAGACCCAAAGCATCCATCCCGGAGCTCACCCTTGAGCTACCTCCCCTCATCGCCACACACACTGCTGGACACTAATCTCGGCTATCCGGCATGCTGCTACAGGAGGGGTGGCAACACCGGGTCTGTCACATCTGTAAGCAACGGCTCGATGCTAATTACACGATGTATGGATGACGCTGGCGCCGCCTCCACCAACGCCAGGGTTGGTAAGAGGTCGGGTGCATGCCATCGCGGTTTGTTTTCGGAGCGTGTTTTTGATGGAACAGGAAATGATCGGAGCGGAGCTCTGGTATCACGGAGCGGGCAGACGTATGTCGGGCTACAGGTCTGAAGCTTTCTCAGGGGGAAGCAGCAGGCGTTGGCATAGTTGGTTTGTCTACTCTCCCAGGAGGAGACATTGAAGTGCATAGCGAGGCGTATGTTCCCGTCATCTAGCAGGACTAGCGGGCGATAAATGCACCTCTCCCAGAACAAACCCCCCGCCCTCTCTTTCAATCAGTGTTTTCGATAGGAGGGGCTGACTGCAGGCCGGCTGCAGGTTTTCTTAAAACGCCCGGCGGGCTGATAGACAACAATATAGCGACTCGTGCTTCACGCTACCTCATTACGCACGAAGATAGTCCAACAGCCGCTTTGGCGCTACTATGTGAGTGCTAGGAATATGATTCTTATTCCACTCCTGCGTTTAACTTAGCTCCACTGTTTTCTAAACCCAGTCTGCTCCCGGGAGTTCAAAGAAACAGCGCAAGAAGCAACCACTAGGTGATCATCGAGATTCGCGTTTCCGGCAAGCGGGCTAGATATACATTGGATGTAACCACTAAAGCTCTTTCCGTTATTGAAGAAAAACGACTTCGGCGCTGTTGGCCAAAGGTGGAAACGAGCTTGGCCGATGCTGCACGACCTCCGCGGTTTCCCCGAATTACCGAATCGTTGAGCTCCCAATTTTGACCATGCGAACTACCAGGAAAGAACTTGTGTGGCCTGGGATGTGTTGATTCATGCAAGTGCAGTTTGAAATTCTGTCACCCAACGCTGTACCAGGCAACATATCTTCCCGAACCCACTTGCTGTGCTGCGTTTTGTGTGGATACATTGCTCCTTAGGCGGCTGAAGTTTCTGACAGTGATTCCAGCAAGCCACCTCCGAAACTTCTAGTTTCTACGGAGAGTTCAGAGCCTTTGGGCTGTTGTGTCGCGGGCGAGAGTTGTGAGCCTGACCCTAAGCACACCCATTACAGCCGAGCATCAATAAATCTGGAGGTCAAGTCTTCTGGGCCCCTGCTCCGGTATCTCCCTTCATGCATGTCCTGTGAGGGAGGCTGGGAGACGGACTGGATCGCACGTTGCCTATCCATGAGAGGCATGGGATAATGTTGAGATTGAAACTGCAATCGGTTTCCGGTTCATGCGGCAACTAACACCTGATTGAACTAAATAGAGCCAAACTCTATGCGACTGGAAGATGCATCGTGGACAAGTAAGGAAGACGATGGTTGGGTGAAAAAATTTCAACTTGACAAACGAAACAAACAACACTCCTTGGAAGTGGAACAACATGCCCACCGCAGACAAAAATGGAAAAAAAAAAAAAAAAAAAAAAAAAAAGAAAGGCACGATGGCCAAACTCCCCTACTGCAGGACTGTCACGACCACCGGTACCCCCAGGGGACCCTCAAGCGCTCGCCAGTCCCTCTGGGTGTCCGCCAACTCCTCGGAGAAACAGAAGTTCTCGCTCCTCGGCGCCGGGCGGCCCGCATTTCCGGCAGGCATGTAACAGATAATGACCACCACCAGGTTCACGCTCTGGCTAACCTGCCTCCCGAGCTGCAGCTCAAAACCGAAGAAGCCCCGCGCATCGACCAGCCAGATGTTCTCAACGGCGGCCATCCGCTGCGCCACGGAGCCCGGGCGCGGCGGGTATGGGGGAGCATTTTCTGCAATGCGCACCGCAAACATCCTGCACGAGTCCGTCCAGTGCATCCCAAAGAAGCGCCACCAGAAACGCGGCACAGAGTGCAACGCCGGCATGTCGACGGCCCCTGTCGGCAGGTTGTTGGGATGGCGGAACCCGTTGTCGCAGTGAAGCAACACCCGCAGCAAATTGTACGCGTCCAAATCCTGCAGACAGGTTTGGATCGTTGGCCCGTTTCTCATCCTTGCACGAAACTCCGGCACCGTCTGGGAGAGGTGCTGCCGCAGTTGCGACAGCCCCTGCTGGCCCCCCCGGAATTGGTGGTGGCACAATGGACAGAGAATCTTATGGTTCGCGTCATGCTGGGGCACGTATCCGGGGTGTTGGGTGTCGCCTGGCAGGTATATTGAGTTCGCAGGGTGCGAGATCGGCCGCAAAGGGTTGGCCATTTGGCCGAGCGGGCGGTACAGGACTGCGCCTTGGAACTCAAGTACGAAGGGCACCTGGTTTCGTCCGGGGGGGATTCGGTGGGCCATGATCAACTGCTCGGAACGGGTTTGTCGGAAGAGAACGGGTTTGCGGAAGGTGGGATCGAAAGTGGATCGGACCTCGGGGGGCGACGAGTTCCAGGGCGTCAACGGGATCACGTCCTCGTCGGAGGCGTCACGGGGGGGGGTCGGAAGAAGAGAGGGACAGGATTCCGGTGTGGGTAGGAGTCGGCAAACCGGCTACCCAGCTGTCAGGCTATGTTTTTTGATGAGGATAAGAGATGGAATGAACTTACAAAAGGAAGAGGAGAGCGTCGTGGGAGGTGGGGACCAAGCCGGAATTCCGGGCTCACAGGTCTGGTCTGTACTGGTGTCAGGATCTCTTCCATGATGTGTCGCAGAGTTCTATACATACCATCGTTCGTTGCCGGAGGTTTAAACCAATCCGGCAACGGCTTGTCGTCGTCCTTCTCGGCAGGAGCAACTAAATAACATCATTAGCCAATACTCATACAACGAGAAAGGAATTAGACACTAACCATACTCCTCATTGTCGGGATTTCGCTTGTCGCCTATCCTGTCCGGCCACCAGAGCTCGGAGGTTTCGATGACCTCCTTGCGCCCTCTTACGTCGAAAATGAGGCATTGCCTCCAGTTGCGGGGATCGAGACTAGCTGTAGCCCAGTATCTTTGCATCAGCAACGTAAATTCAATGACAGTGAAAAGCAGACATCCATACTTCCGTTCGGCTTCATCAATGCCGATAACTCCTGGCTTGGAACCTTCGCGCGCCAACCCGCTGCACGCCTCCTGCGCTGCCGAGGTGGCCAGGCTTGTGCTGACAAGTTCCCAGGCGGAACCACTCAAGCCTAGAACAACTTTGTTTCACATTGAGCCGATATGACATGTAGGAACAATGGGTCCTGTGACCCGCGAGGAACACCTTTGTGGGTCAAAGAACACATTCCTGGGCGCGACATGACGGTTCCAAATTCGGGCTCGGCTGCTTTATGGAAGCAATCACCGTGATAACATTCTGATACTCAACCCTTCATTGCCATCGCAGATAGTGGTCGTGTTAGTCGAAGTTGTAGCATGTTCCGTCGATGATGGTACGCCGAGAGGTGTTGGTTAGAGTGAATGCAAGGCAGAGGCGGCAAGCGGTATTATGGGTACCAGTTCTGCTGATAAACTGGCTGCTGGTGATACACAGCCTCCTGCTGATAATCAGGCTCGCGAAAAGTGCGTCCTAGGAGTGTGGAATGCCGAAAATACAGCACTGCACTGATTCGGTAGGCGGGGGCGTATACCAACTAGCAGCTTCCGCTGTTGGAATCATCTACTGTGTGGGGACAAGCCAGAGTGGAGGTGACTCACTGCCAATCACTCCGTATGGAATCAATTCCATGAGCAAAATAAATGCCATTGGCTTCGAAATAGCGATCATTTTTGGCACACCATTTTGACACCGTCAGTGGTAGAGGCAGTAAGGAATGCACGCGATCGGCTCGAGGCGCGCAGGTGCGGAATTGGAAGTCTCTCATGGTATGTCCATCCAATGACCTTGATCCGAATCTCAGTCGATCAAGCACAGAATATGCTAGGGCGGAGGAGCCACGATACTCTCCCGCACGGCAATTGAGGAGATCCAATCACGATGCACAAAAGAATTCAATTTC